AATTAAATTTATCCTTTTTATATTTTAAAATGTTTGCTTTCCTACCAACTAAATCGCATAAAGTTTCCTAATAATCCCTCATTTTATTACTCAGAGCTTTTATCCTCTTCTGTTCTATAAAATTCTGATAGTTCTGATAATTTACGTCTAGGCTCTATTTGCACTACCTTGTACATTTTACTTTTTATATTTATCCATATTTTTATCTTAAGTGTATATATTAGTATATTTTTTGCATGCCTTATACCCCAGTGTTTTTAGAGATTTTTATAATTTTATTTACTATTTCATATATGTTTCATGTTGCACGACTGTACCACAAAAAATTCCTAGTTGTGAACTTCTTCACTAACAATGGCAATAAACCCGATTCTGATTCTGATTCTGATTCTGATTTATTGCAGAATCACAATCTTTGTTCCATATTTTTATGTTTTTCCCTCTGGATAAATTGCTTAGCAGGACCTAAAAAAGCTTCACAAATATGAATATTAAAACGACTGAGATCTAAATAAAAATGAACCATTTTGGAATCATCACTATTTCTGTATAATGTTTCCTCCGTTTCTGCTCCTTCAGGATTTTCTCATCCAACCTTTAAACCCACGTCTGTTAGGAGAACCAATCTTTCCTGCCTCTAAAGTTTGCTCTTTATCTGAACTTTGGTTCCTCTTCCACCATTAAGACAAACCAGCTTCCTTATATCCATTGGAATCGTTATTAGTGACTTACTGCAAGCATTTAAACCTCTACAATAAATCACATTTTCATCCAGATTTCCAATCAGTTCCTCTAAATAAGGTTTTTTTTTTTAACCAAAATTCTAAAATCAAACATTTTAATGTTTTTAACAGCGATCTATTCTAATATCATCAAATTCTGCCTTCGGTCATCGTTCTTCACCACCATACCGTACCATACCATACCAACTTTATTTATGAAGCACTTTATACACCGAACAGGACCAAAGTGCTGTACACAATCATAAAATACAATAAAATTATAAAATAGAGAAAAAACGAGTGTAAAATACATATTAGTATACAAAAAGAATAAAACAAAGTAAAACCTCTCAAATTGTGCCAAAAGCCAAGGAAAAAAGATGAGTCTTAAGAAGGGACTTAAAAACAGCAAGAGAAGAGGCCTGTCTTATGCTGATTTGACAAAACAATATTGACAAATAATATCAGTTTATTTTTCATTAATTGATGCATCTTTTAAACTCTTAACTATTAGCTGTTTGTCTCCAAGCGTCCCAGTGAGGAAGAAGAGAACTCTTCCTCTTCCTGTTTTAACAGCAGCTGTAATGTTTTATTAGTTCCAAATTAGATGCCTTATAGAAAATCTCTCTTTTTTTGCCCCTTTCACATTTTATTTGTTCGGTACAGTTAATTGGTTGTAATATCCGATCGTGATTTTCACGCTCAGGTCTTGGACGGCTGTTTTTATCCTGAACCTTCTAGTCTGTCTCTGAGTTTTTAGCTGTTTTTAGTTTTCCTGCTGCTCCTTCCTGAGCTTCACAGCCTCCAAATGCAACATTATGCTGAACATCACAGCCTAACATCATCTTTGCTTTCCTCAGAGCTCTGTCCATCGCTCCAGATGTTAGAGCAGTAAATCTCTGCCTGCGGCTCTGATCTCTGGGAGAACATAGAACATTTATTATAGTAGAAATCTGTTCAGCAAACATCCTATTAATGTAAACAGACATTATTATATCCTAATAGTCACTAAAAGCATTCAGTGATAATTGAAAATAAAAGAAGTATTGAGACTTTCTGGTCTTTCAATAAGAGATGAAGGTCTGACGTTTCCCAGGCAACGCTTTGAGGCCCCAAACTATTCAACATGGCGCCCTCTGCTGTTCAGCCTGGGAATGACCGTCAGAGGTGGTAAAGGTGTGACTCGGAGCTGCAGATTGCAGCCCGGTTTATGTTAAAGGAATAATGATGATAAATTCATTTTTTCTGGCAAAATTTTAAAAAGTGTTTTGGAATAATTGGAACAAACTGAGAATCTAAAAAAGGTTTTCAGAAGAGTGAATCAAAATCTGAAGAAATAAACTGTTGTTAAAATGCCTCGAAGCAAGAAGGTTCAATTCCCGGCCTGGAATCTTTCTGCATGGAGTCTGCATGTTCTCTCTGAGCATGCGTGGGTTCTCCCCTGGTACTCTGGCTTCCTCCCACACTCCAAAAACATGTTAGGTTCATTGGCTTCTTTAAACTCTCCTTAGGTGTGTGTGAATGGTTGTTGGTCCTGTTTGTCTCTGTGTTTCCCTGGGAGGGACTGGAGACCTGTCCAGGGTGGACCCCTCCTCTCTGTCCAGGGTGGACCCTGCCTCTCACCCGTAGAGAGCTGGAGATAGGCACCAGCACCCCTCACCACCCCAGCAGGGATAATGGATGGATTTAAAAATACTCCATTTGTTTTTATTCAGCTTCAACAATTGAAGACAGAACTGAACACGTGTTTCTGGCCTCTTCTGACCAGAGTTATGGACATAGACAGGTATGGGGCATTGCAGGCTAACAAAGAAGCTAAACGACCCCCATTCCAAAGGGGGGGACCCGTTCATCCGTTCCTATTTGGATGTTTTCTAAACTAAAACCAGGCTTTGTTGAGATAAAACCTGGAACTCAACGCTATTTCTGACATTTTGAACTGAAAAAGCTTCCGGGATGGAAGAGAAACGTCTTCAAACTTGGAAACAAACTCCAGTGGATTGATTTTTTTTTTCATATTTTTGGAATGACTCTGACGTGGATGACTTTGGATCTTCACCAGTTTATGGACCAAAAGTCATTCAAAAAACATTAAGAGTCAGAGAGATAAATGATGAAGAAACATTGAAAACATTTGCTTTAAAAGAAATAGATCTAATAAACAATAATTTATTTCAAATTACAATGTCTGTGATTATCCCAACCAATCAGAAGATCAGAAAATAAAAACAGAGGAGTTTTATGAGGTTTAATCAACCAGCCCTGTTTTTTTTTGTCTGTTATTATACATGATGAAAACAGACTCAAGACAATTTTCTTCCTGAAAATGAGGGCAATCTTAATAATTCACTGAATGACATTTAGTTTATAAAAAAAAAAAAAACAGCAGTGACGTCACCAGCCTTCCCTCTGCAGTACTCTATAATGAACACCAGGGGTCAGTGTGGTTCATGTGATAAAGGCTGCTGGCCTACATAGATCTATAGGAAATAGAGAAATTACATCAATTTCTTTGACTGGAGATTTTAAATAAAGTGAATGATGGAAGATGATCATGACTGAAAATGTTTAGTGCCTTTGATAACCGCTGCCATAAAGCTCCATCAGATTTAATACCAACGCTGAGATGAAACGGCTTGATGAAACAAACCATCCATCATCCCAATCGTCTCTTCTGGAATCTAATTTCAGATCGAAGTGAATTATTGTTCTGCATCTTCACACAGCTCTAATTCCATCAGCATGGAGGAGCCATTTCCTTTCTGAAACATTTAGCATCTCATTGAGTGAAACCGAAGGCTATCATATGCCGTCTGTGTGCATATCCAGCAAATGACTCAATATGTGCAAAGAGTCACTTTTATTTCCATCCTTTTTTATCGGGTGGGGGGGCAAACAGCTACTGTGTTTGTCTCAGCTGCCAGTTAAGAGCTAATTTCTTTTAGAGCTCATTGGTTGTGCTGCATCTGTTTACTGTCTCTCTTTCTGACATGGTGCTCAGAGGGCCAACGTGCAGAAGCTGCCTGGATGGTCTATGGGGTCGCTATGTACGTTTGCAGGTGGCCAATCAGGTGGCAGTCATCTCTAGCAGGGGCTCATTAGGAGAGAAAAGTTAGCAGAGACCCCTTCGTTTATATGCCGCTGGGAAGCAGAGCTCATGACTCTAACTCAAGGAGTTTGTGATAAAGAATAAGATCTGGAAGTGTGATGTAGTGAGGCATAGTGAGGCTTAGTGAGGTGTATTGTGGCGTAGTGTGGCGTAGTGAGGCGTATTGTGGCTTAATGAGGATAGTGAGGCGTATTGTGGCGTAGTGAGGTGTATTGTGGCATAGGGACGCGTAGTGAAGCGTAGTGTGGTGTAGTGTGGCATAGTGAGGCGTATTGTGGCGTAGTGACGCGTAGTGAAGCGTAGTGTGGGGTAGTGAGGCATAGTGAGGCGCAGTGGGGTGTAGTGTGGTGTAGTGAGGAGTATTGGGGCGTAGTGAAGCGTATTGTGGCTTAGTGAGGCATAGTGAGGCGTATTGTGGCATAGTGTGGCGTAGTGAGGTGTATTGTGGCATAGTGTGGCGTAGTGAGGCATAGTGAGGCGTATTGTGGCGTAGCGTGGCATAGTGAGGCATAGTGAGGCGTATTGTGGCATAGTGTGGCGTAGTGAGGCATTGTGAGGCGTATTGTGGCATACTGTGGCGTATTGTGGCATAGTGTGGCGTAGTGAGGCATAGTGAGGCGTATTGTGGCGTAGCGTGGCATAGTGAGGCGTATTGTGGCATAGTGTGGCGTAGTGAGGCATTGTGAGGCGTATTGTGGCATACTGTGGCGTATTGTGGCATAGTGTGGCGTAGTGAGGCATAGTGAGGCGTATTGTGGCATAGTGTGGCGTAGTGAGGCATAGTTTGGCATAGTGAGGTGTATTGTGGCGTAGTGTGGCGTAATGAGGTGTATTGTGTGGTAGTGAGGCATAGTGAGGCGTATTGGGGCGTAGTGTGGCGTAATGAGGCGTATTGTGGCATAGTGAGGCGTATTGTGGCATAGTGTGGCGTAGTGAGGCATAGTGAGGCATAGTGAGGCGTATTGTGGCATAGTGAGGCGTATTGTGGCATAGTGTGGCGTAGTGAGGCATAGTGAGGCGTATTGTGGCATAGTGTGGCGTAGTGAGGCATAGTTTGGCATAGTGAGGTGTATTGTGGCGTAGTGTGGCGTAATGAGGTGTATTGTGTGGTAGTGAGGCATAGTGAGGCGTATTGGGGCGTAGTGTGGCGTAATGAGGCGTATTGTGGCTTAATGAGGCATAGTGAGGCGTATTGTGGCATAGTGAGGTGTATTGTGGCATAGGGACGCGTAGTGAAGCGTAGTGTGGTGTATTGTGGCATAGTGTGGCGTAGTGAGGCATAGTGAGGCGTAGTGAGGTGTATTGTGGCGTAGTGTGGCGTAGTGAGGCGTATTGTGGCTTAATGAGGCATAGTGAGGCGTATTGTGGCGTAGTGAGACGTAGTGTGGCGTAATGAGGTGTATTGTGGGGTAGTGAGGCACAGTGGCGTGTAGTGTGGTGTAGTGAGGCGTATTGGGACGTAAGGAAGCGTATTGTGGCTTAGTGAGGCATAGTGAGGCGTATTGGGGCATAGTGTGGGGTAGTGAGGCATAGTGAGGTCTATTGTGGCATAGTGAGGTGTATTGTGGCATAGGGATGCGTAGTGAAGCGTAGTGTGGTGTATTGTGGCGTAGTGTGGCATAGTGAGGTGTATTGTGGCTTAGTGTGGCGTAGTGAGGCGTATTGTGGCTTAATGAGGCATAGTGAGGCGTATTGTGGCGTAATGAGGTGTATTGTGGCATAGGGAAGCGTAGTGAAGCGTAGTGTGGTGTAGTGTGGCATAGTGAGGCGTATTGTGGCGTAGTGAGACGTAGTATGGCGTAATGAGGTGTATTGTGGGGTAGTGAGGCATAGTGAGGCGCAGTGGGGTGTAGTGTGTTGTAGTGAGGCGTATTGGGGCGTAGTGAAGCATATATTCGCTTAGTGAGGCATAGTGAGGCGTATTGTGGCATAGTGTGGCGTAGTGAGGCGTAGTGAGGTGTATTGTGGCATAGTGTGGCGTAGTGAGGCATAGTGAGGCATAGTGAGGTGTATTGTGGTGTAGTGTGGCATAGTGAGACGTATTGTGGCATAATGTGGCGTAGTGAGGCATAGTGAGGCGTATTGTGGCATAGTGTGGCATAGTGAGGCATAGTGAGGCGTATTTTGGCGTAGTGTGGCGTAGTGAGGCATAGTTTGGCATAGTGAGGTGTATTGTGGCGTAGTGTGGCGTAATGAGGTGTATTGTGTGGTAGTGAGGCATAGTGAGGCGTATTGGGGCGTAGTGTGGCGTAATGAGGCGTATTGTGGCTTAATGAGGCATAGTGAGGCGTACTGTGGCATAGTGAGGTGTATTGTGGCATAGGGACGCGTAGTGAAGCATAGTGTGGTGTATTGTGGCATAGTGTGGCGTAGTGTGGCATAGTGAGGCGTAGTGAGATGTATTGTGGCTTAATGAGGGATAGTGAGGCGTATTGGGGCGTAGTGAGGTGTATTGTGGGATAAGGACGCGTAGTGAAGCGTAGTGTGGTGTAGTGTGGCATAGTGAGGCGTATTGTCACGTAGTGAGGTGTATTGTGGCATAGGGACGCGTAGTGAAGCGTAGTGTGGTGTAGTGTGGCATAGTGAGGCGTATTGTGGCGTAGTGACGCGTAGTGAGACGTAGTGTGGCGTAATGAGGTGTATTGTGGGGTAGTGAGGCATAGTGAGGCACAGTGGCGTGTAGTGTGGTGTAGTGAGGCGTATTGGGGGGTAGTGAAGCGTATATTGGCTTAGTGAGGCATAGTGAGGCGTATTGTGGCATAGTGTGGCGTAGTGAGGCGTAGTGAGGTGTATTGTGGCATAGTGAGGTGTATTGTGGCATAGGGACGCGTAGTGTGGTGTATTGTGGCGTAGTGTGGCATAATGTGGCATAGTGAGGCGTAGTGAGGTGTATTGTGGCTTAGTGTGGCGTAGTGAGGGGTATTGTGGCTTAATGAGGCATAGTGAGGCGTATTGTGGCGTAGTGAGGTGTACTGTGGCATAGGGACGCGTAGTGAAGCGTAGTGTGGTGTAGTGTGGCATAGTGAGGCGTATTGTGGCGTAGTGACGCGTAGTGAGACGTAGTATGGCGTAATGAGGTGTATTGTGTGGTAGTGAGGCATAGTGAGGCGCAGTGGGGTGTAGTGTGGTGTAGTGAGGAGTATTGGGGCGTAGTGAAGCGTATTGTGGCTTAGTGAGGCATAGTGAGGCGTATTTTGGCATAGTGTGGCGTAGTGAGGTGTATTGTGGCATAGTGTGGCGTAGTGAGGCGTAGTGAGGTGTATTGTGGCATAGTGGGGTGTAGTGTGGTGTAGTGAGGTGTATTGGGGCGTAGTGAAGCGTATTTTGGCTTAGTGAGGCATAGTGAGGCGTATTGTGGCATAGTGAGGCGTAGTGAGGTGTATTGTGGCTTAGTGTGGCGTAGTGAGGGGTATTGTGGCTTAATGAGGCATAGTGAGGCGTATTGTGGCGTAGTGAGGTGTACTGTGGCATAGGGACGCGTAGTGAAGCGTAGTGTGGTGTAGTGTGGCATAGTGAGGCGTATTGTGGCGTAGTGACGCGTAGTGAGACGTAGTATGGCGTAATGAGGTGTATTGTGGGGTAGTGAGGCATAGTGAGGCACAGTGGCGTGTAGTGTGGTGTAGTGAGGCGTATTGGGGCGTAGTGAAGCGTATTGTGGCTTAGTGAGGCATAGTGAGGCGTATTGTGGCATAGTGTGGCGTAGTGAGGTGTACTGTGGCATAGTGTGGCGTAGTGAGGCGTAGTGAGGTGTATTGTGGCATAGTGGGGTGTAGTGTGGTGTAGTGAGGCGTATTGGGGCATAGTGAAGCGTATTTTGGCTTAGTGAGGCATAGTGAGGCGTATTGTGGCATAGTGTGGCGTAGTGAGGCATAGTGAGGCGTATTGATGCATAGTGTGGCGTAGTGAGGCATAGTGAGGCGTATTGTGGCATAGTGTGGCGTAGTGAGGCATAGTGAGGCGTATTGTGGCGTAGTGTGGCGTAGTGAGGCATAGTTTGGCACAGTGAGGCGTATTGGGGCGTAGTGTGGCGTAATGAGGTGTATTGTGGCTTAATGAGGCATAGTGAGGTGTATTGTGGCATAGTGAGGTGTATTGTGGCATAGGGACGCGTAGTGAAGCGTAGTGTGGTGTAGTGAGGCGTAGTGTGGCATAGTGAGGCGTATTGTGGCGTAGTGACGCATAGTTAGACGTAGTGTGGCGTAATGAGGTGTATTGTGGCTTAGTGAGGCATAGTGAGGCGTATTGTGGCATAGTTTGGCGTAGTGAGGCGTAGTGAGGTGTATTGTGGCATAGTGTGGCGTAGTGAGGCATAGTTTGGCATAGTGAGGTGTATTGTGGCGTAGTGAGGCGTAGTGTAGCGCATTGAGTTGAGGCGTAGTGAGGTGTATTGCGGCGTAGTGAGGCGCAGTGTGGCGTAATGAGGTGTATTGTGGGGTAGTGAGGCACAGTGGGGTGTAGTGAGGCGCATTGGGCGTAGTGTGGCATAGTGAAGCATATTGTGGCTTAGTGAGGCATAGTGAGGCGTATTGTGGCATAGTGTGGCGTAGTGAGGCGTATTGTGGCATAGTGTGGCGTAGTGAGGTATAGTGTGGCATAGTGAGGTTTATTGCGGCGTAGTGAGGCTTAGTGAGGCGTATTGTGGTGTAGTGACGCATAGTAAGGCGTAGTATGGCAAAGTGAGGTGTATTGTGGCGTAGCAACACATAGTGAGGTGTAGTATGGAGTAGTGAGGTGTATTGTGGCGTAGTGAGGCGTATTGTGGCGTAGCAACGCGTAGTGAGGCGTAGTATGGCGTAGTGAGGTGTATTGTAGCGTGGTGAGGCATAGTTAGGGGTAGTGAGATGCAGTGAGGTGTAGTGAGGTGTATTGTGGCGTAGTGAGGCGTAGTGTGTTTTTCAGTGTAGTCCTGTTTCTCTGACTGTGACTAACTGGATGTGCTCTCTTCATCCTCTGACATGGGAGCTGGCTCGGAGCTCGTCTGCCTGGCTGTGTGTTTCCTGGACGGGGCCGCCTGTGGAGCTGGTTGGTACCTATTTGTCCCTACAAATCATTCGATTTGAATAATCGATTTGATAGCCTTTAATGCTATCTTAGACACTATTGGCTTTGTTCAAAATGTGAATAGTCCCACACATTCTCATCTTCATACTTTGGATCTTGTGCTGACATACGGCATAGAATGTGAAGAAACAACAGTATTTCCTCACAACTCTGTCCTCTCTGACCACTTTCTAATAACCTTCAGGATTACTTTAACAGAGTTCTCCTCCCCCAAAAGAAGGTTCAATTTTAGTAGATCTTTATCAGATAGTGCAGTTATAAATTTTAAAGAATCTGCTTCACTTTCTCTCTCCTCTGTATCGCTGAGCAGTGCTGCAGAGTGCAAAAGCATAGCTTATTCACCTTCACAGGTTGATGATTTTGTTGATGGGGTTGCTAGTTCTCTGCGTATTGCCTTAGACAACGCAGCTCCTTTGAAAATGAAAACCGTTAAAAATAGAAAGCTGGCTCCTTGGTTTAATGCAGAGCTGCGTACTTTGAAGCAAAATGTTAGGAAACTGGAGAGAAAATATCGCTCCACAGGCCTGCGAGAGTCCTTCCTAGTCTGGAAAAATGGTTTACTGCTGTATAAGAGGACCCTTTGTAAAGCAAGAGCAGCATACTTCTCCTCATTAATAGAGGAGAATAAGAATAATCCTAGATTTCTTTTTAATACAGTTGCCAAACTCACCCAGAGCCATAGCTCTGTTGAACCGTCCATTCCACCTGCTCTTAGCAGCAATGATTTTATGGGATTCTTTATAAATAAGATTGATCTTATTAAAAATAAGATCATAAGCACTCCTCTATCCGCGATTGTACCTGAGGTAGTCATGGAATCTGAACCGGGTTTAGACTGCTTTGATCCAGTTGAACTTTCTGAATTAGCAAAATTATTGTCTTCATCTAAGCCTTCAACTTGGATGTTAGATCCAGTTCCAACCAGGTCATTTAAGGAGGTATTCCCTTTGATCTCCTCCTCCATTTTAGATGTGATTAATCTATCTCTGTTACAGGGATATGTACCTAAAGCTTTTAAGGTTGCTGTAATTAAACCTCTGCTTAAAAAACCGTCTCTTGACCCAGATGACTTGGTCAATTATAGACCTATATCCAATCTTCCTTTCTTATCCAAAATTCTTGAGAAAGTAGTTGCCAAACAAGTTTGCGATCACTTACACCATAATGAACTTTTTGAAGAGTTTCAGTCTGGCTTTAGAACTCATCATAGCACTGAAACAGCTCTGGTGAAAGTCACTAATGATATTCTCATGGCCTCAGATAATGGACTTGTATCTGTGCTCGTCCTGTTGGATCTTAGTGCTGCATTTGATACAGTTGACCATAATATTCTTTTAGAAAGACTTGAATATTTTGTTGGAATTAAAGGAACAGCACTAGACTGGTTTAAATCTTATCTATCTGATCGAATTCAGTTTGTTCATGTTAATGATAGATCTTCAACACGCTCAAAGGTTACCTGTGGAGTACCACAGGGATCAGTGCTAGGACCAATTCTCTTTACTTTATACATGCTCCCAATTGGTAGAATTATTAGACAGCATGGGATTAATTTCCACTGTTATGCTGATGATACCCAGCTATATCTGGCTATAAATCCAGATGAAGCTAACCCATTACATAGATTACAGGCATGTCTGAAGACATAAAAACCTGGATGACTCTTAACTTTCTGCTTCTGAATGCAGATAAAACAGAAGTTATAGTCTTTGGACCAGAGTCTCTGAAAAAGAAACTGATTAGCCAGTCACTTCATTTGGATGGGATTAAACTGATTTCAGATAATAAAGTAAAAAATCTTGGTGTTATTTTTGATCAGGACCTATCATTTAAATCCCAGATCAAAGAGGTTTCTAGAATTTCCTTCTTTCATCTGAGGAGCATTGCAAAAATTAGAAATCTCCTGTCCAGGGGTGATGCTGAGAAACTAGTCCATGCATTTGTTACTTCAAGGCTGGACTATTGTAATTCTTTACTATCAGGAAGTCCACAAACTGTAGTTAAAAGCCTTCAGCTGATCCAAAATGCTGCAGCCAGAGTTCTAATGAAAATGAAAAAGAGAGATCATATCTCTCCTATCCTGGCTTCTCTTCATTGGCTTCCTGTTAAATCAAGAATAGAATTTAAAATCCTCCTTCTCACATATAAAGCCTTAAATGGCCAAGCTCCATCTGATATCAGAGATCTGATTGTTCCTGATGTTCCTAACAGAGCACTTCGCTCTCAATCTGCAGGTTTACTAGTGGTTCCTAGAATTTCT